AGATAAATGCAAGGAAAGCTCTCAACTTCACATCTTACGTTACTTGCCACATTAAAGATCTATCTACCATTCACACCAACCCCAAAAATTTTACTCTTATTAAAGTTTACTTTTAATGTTGAAAACAAGCTTAAAGCATCTTAAGACTCTCTTTGATATTTATGATCTCTTTAACCACAATGTTACAAAAAAAAAATAAGGTGTCATCCGTTAATAGAAGTATAATTAAGCTTTCACCTCCCCCACCTCTCACCCCTCATCCATCCCCATTGTTATAACTGAAAACTTTGATGTGACCCAACATATAAGTTTTTTTCACTGTTGAACAAAAATGGGGATAAGGTGTCCCCCTACCTCAAATCTCTCATCAAAACCGTTAACCAGAATAAAGATTCCCATAGAGGAGACACACTTCATTATGTAAACCTTCCACTTGGCACAAAGTTCATATCTATGAAAACACTTTCCAGGAAATCCTAATTAATTATATTATACGCCTTCTTAAAATCCATCTCTAAATAGTAACCTCCCACAACCACATTGCATGACATTAGCTAACTTTGAAGCAACAAGCACACAATTAAACATATGCCTAGTTTTTCATAAAAGCAAATTGGGACTCACCAATCAACTCCCCTAAGACACTTATAAGTCTATCCATCAACACCTTGGATGTGCTTTTATAAATGATACTAATTTTGTAAGTCCCCTAAGGTAGTTGAGTTTTCAACTTTGGGGATTAAGGTTAAAAATAAAGTATCCATTGAGTTTTGAAAGTTGTTGGTCAAATGAAGTTCTTCCATGATACTTGTAATATCATCTTTAAGTACTTTGTAATTACTTTGAATAAACAACATATTGAAACTATCAAGTTCTGATACTTTATCACATACTCTTCCATCACCATACCTCTAACTTCTTTTATAAAAAAACTGAACTTCTAACTCAATTTTTTAGGTTTTTTAATTTTATTAAACATAATACATTGAAGTTTCATCCTCAGTCGGTTAACATCGTCACTGATAACTCAATTAACATGGTTAAAGCATTTAGACGGAGAACTGTCGGTGTTTGTTTCTATAAATATGAGCTTGGTGAGTTCATTTTCAAGGTTGTATGTATGTATAGACAAATTAAAGGGCACGTTGGATATTTGTGAAGAAAAAAAAAAAGGATAAGTTAACAAATCCCAAAGTAAGAAAGAAAAGAAAAAGCTAGTCCATGAAGATTCAGAACTAGGTTATTGGATAGTTTGGGTCAAGAGTGATTCACTAAGAGCAGTCAAGAAAGCCTGTATTGGCATGTAATTGGGCTATTAAAAACAAAACCCACCAAGCAAAATTATCAAAAGAGGCCTTTGATTTTGTAAAACTTCACGGATACCTAATGGGCTTGCACACTCACTGACCCAAATGGGCCTAGTCAAGACTTCTTTTTGTGTTCCATTATTGTAATATATTGAAATTTGTTTAGACATAATAATATTGTACTACCAGAGCTGAAGTCAGGAAGAAGCTACCAAGTCGGATGCTGTTCTTATGAACAAAAGGTCAAAAAAATTAGAGAGAAAAAAAAAAAAAAAAGCAACCAACGGCTAGAATGCCACAAGAAAAAGCACCCACATACAACTCTTTCTCCCACGATGCTTACACCCTTCTCTTCAATTCCTTCCAAACAAATTATAGAAAACTAAACGAAACAAAAAAGTAAATAAAACAAAACTAAATTAACAAAAACAGGAAAAATGAATTCCCCCCCCCCCCCCCCCCCACTAATCCCGCTCTAATCTCCGTTTACAACTCCTAATCTCTAACCTGACCAGAAAACAAAACAGAGATTTCAAACCCCCCCTAAAAATTTACATCTCAATCTCATGGAGAAAGCCCCTGAAAAGTCTGTCAGCTTTTCCAACAATGGCCATAAAAAGACCAACTCTGCAGGCCGAGATCACTTGGACGTCGTCGACGGCAGATCAGACGGGGATCATCAAAATGCCGAGGACCCACCACCGGATCACGTGATGGAGGAGGTGGAACGATTTGTCGACGCATTGTCTTCCGCGGAGGACAAATCCAATCCCCCGGAGATTCCACCCGCTGCGGAGTCGTTACCTAAAATGGTAGATTCGATGATCTCCAAATTTGATTCTAAAGACTCTTCCTGCAGATTTGGTCAAAACAAAGACGAAGATTCTGCATTTGTAGATGCCCTTAATCGTCTCTCAAAGTTGGCAAATAAACTATCTGCCTTTCCTTCCAATTCTCCTCTCGCCCATTGCCTGAACCGATCCAGCTCCGTCTTGCACCGCGCCATGACTTTCTTGGACGACCAGTTCCGTTCCATTCTCAATAATTCCAAGCGCAATAACACTCTCAATAACCTTTTGGATCCCAAGACCCCAAAGTCCCACAAGCAACAGTCTTTCAAGGATTCAGATTGTTGTGTAACAGTTGAACCAGGCTCCAACAAGCTCGAGGATTTTCCAGCTTTCTCTCAGGAAGCAATATCCACCATGAACAAGATCACCAGGGCCATGATCCCTGCCGGCTACGAAGCAGAATGTTGTCTCTTATACGGAAACCTCAGACGACAAGCCTTCCAAGACGAGCTGACCAAGTTGGGTTTCGACAACATTAACGCTGAGGATGTCCAGAGAATGCAATGGGAGCCCCTCGAGGAAGAGATCACCATGTGGATTAATATCGTCAAGCATTGCGCCTCCACCCTCTTCGCCGCCGAGCGGAAGCTCTGCGATGCAGTCTTCTCTGATTTCCCTTGGCTTCCGAAAAGATTGTTCGGCGAGATCGCCGCGTCGGTGGTGATGCGGTCACTCAACTTCTCAGGAGCCGTTGTGCTTACGAAGCGGTCAACTGAGAAGCTGTTCAAGTTTCTGGACATGTACGAGACACTGCGGGATTTGGTGGTGGCGATAGATGGATCTGATTCCGGAGACGCATCCCAAGAATTGATAAACGAGATCTCAGTGGCGCAATCTAGGCTGGGTGAGGCTGCGGTGAGTATTTTCTGTGAGCTTGAGAATTCGATCAGCTGCGACCAGGGAAGGACTCCGGTGCCCAGTGGTGCAGTTCATCCCTTGACTCGCTACACCATGAATTATCTCGAGTACGCCTGTGAATACAAGGACACCTTGGAGCAGGTATTTCGAAATCACAGAAAAATGGAGGGAGATTCAGAGCAATCCAACAGTAGCTACGAAGCAAAGAACAGAAGAGGGGGCGACGACGCCCATGACGAGGGGGCCCAAGAAATGTCACCATTTGCAACAGAATTGATGACTGTGATGGATCTGCTGGACGCAAATCTTGACATGAAGTCGAAACTTTACAGGGACCCAGCATTACGTTACATATTCTTGATGAACAACGGAAGATATATATTGCAGAAGATCAAAGGGTCGAGTGAGATCTACGAAATGATCGGCCCGGCATGGACAAGAAAGAGATCTTCGGACATGAGGATGTACCACAAGAACTACCAAAGGGAAACGTGGAGTAGGGTGTTACAGTGCATGAGCCATGAAGGGTTGCAGGTGAGCGGGAAGGTGGCAAAACCTGTGTTAAAAGAGAGATTCAAATGCTTCAACGCCTTGTTTGAAGAGATTCACAAGACGCAGAGCACGTGGGTGGTGAGCGACGAGCAGCTCCAATCTGAGCTGCGGGTGTCCATATCGGCAGTGGTGATTCCGGCTTACAGATCGTTTCTGGGAAGATTCAAACAACATCTGGACGCGAGTAGACAGGCGGATAAGTATATTAGGTATCAACCTGAGGATATTGAGACGTTGATTGATGAATTATTTGATGGAAACCCAGCTTCCATGGGAAGAAGAAAAACATGATCACTTTCACTTCTTCTCAAACTTGATTTCATTCGACTCCTCCTCCTCCTCCTTTCCATGATCATGCCCTTTAAATTACATAAACGAAAATTTTGTGAAATACTTAATTTTCAATTTTGATGTGTAATATTATACATTATAACAATTTCTTTTATTTGTACAACCATACCATATTGTTTGTCATCAATATTTTATTGATTTTGAAAAGAAAAAAAAAATCATATCTTTTATATTTCATACTGTTCTTTCTTTATATTTTTTAAATGTAATAATTTTTAATTAAAATTAATCGAAAGGAGGAATTGGAGTTTGTAAGTCCAAAGATCTGGGCTGGGCTGTAAATTGGCAGAACATAAACAATTACTTCTACCACTCCATTCCAATCTATTTATATTATGAATTAGAAAATTAGTTAATTCCCATCAACACAAACCCAAGCCAAATCAACCCAGCATACAACATGAAAAAATGAAACACACCCAAAAAGAAAAAAAAAAACAAAAGGAAGGAAAAGAAAAAAAAAGGTAAATAGAGAGCCCTTTTTTTTAGAAAAAATAAGAAGAGGTGCCCAAATCAAAAGGATCGGCCGGCGTATCATAAACAGTCGGCATCCTGCTAAACAGTGGACTGTGCACGTACTGGCTCGAATCGAAGTCGAAGTAGGAACCGGCTGAATCCATCATCTCCAACCCTGTCGTCTGCTCCGTCAACCCTGTCACCATTCCTTCACTCCCACCACCTTCGTATTCTTGATTATTATATCCCCAGTATTCACAACCAGACATCTCGCAGCTGGGTAACGGTGGTAGCTCGTGATCATTATTACTACTAACACCATTGACATTCAAACCTTGCTCTGGCTGCTGCTGCTGCTGCTGCTGCTGCTGCAGCTGATGATAATGATGAGCGTACGAACCCGAACCCGAACCCGAACCCGAACCAGAAGACCCCCAGATGTCATCCTCACCAGAAGTCGTCATTGCAGAGAAGTAATTATAACTATGATGATCACTGACATTGACGCTAGACACCAGATGGGGAATGTCTTGTTGTTGATGAGGAGGAGGGTCGAGTAAGAAAGAAGTTTGGAAGTTGTTTTTGTTGTGTTGGTTGGTTTGGACGTCATCGGGAGAGATGATGGAGGTGACGGAGGAGCCGGGAGGCATGTCCGAGTAGACAAAGTTGGTGCGGGCACGAGGGCCGCGCATGGAGCGGGCGGCTCTGTCATAGGCCAAAGCTGCCTCTTCGGCGGTGTCAAAGGTGCCGAGCCAATGCCTTTCTTTGGTGGTAGGGTCTCTTATCTCCGCCGCGTATCTTCCCCATGGCCTCCGACGAACCCCCAGAAACCTCCCTCCCGTTGCTTCCTGCTGCGGCTGCTTCTTCTTGCTCCTGCTTGACGTTGATGCGTTCATGATATATATCAAAGTTAACAATATCCGATCGGCTGATGATGAGGATGACCACGGTTCTCCTACGTGAAACTTTATATATTTGTGTGTGTGTGTGTGTGTCCGAGTATGAAGACGAAAGAGAGCGAGAGAGAGAGAAAGAGAGAGAGAGATTAAAAATGTAAAATGGGTAGGTAGCAATGAACAGTTTCGATGGATTACACTAACACAAAGAGAAGTGGATGTCGTTTGTTCTGGAGTTGCATGTGATGTGAGTCTCGTATATATATATATATATACACACACACACACACTTACGCATTTGCCCCTTTCTATATCCCCACTATACATATATACATATATATATATATATATACACATATTAAAGGTGGTATATAAGGACTTCTTATCAAGAGATACAGATATATAATTACAAGCTCAAATCACCAATTATATATAATCTATTGTTTAAGTTGGTATGTAAAAAATACGCATATACTACTTTATACATATATATATATATACATATATATATATGTAAGCTCAAAAGTAGTAATAGAAAAATTAGGTTAAACAGAACTTAAAGAAATCATATATGTATGGATTAATATGTGATGAGATGATTTCATTTCCCTATACAACGTATCTAACAAGCCATTCTTTTTTGCTCCTTAAAATAATTTCAGCAGCAATCTCTTTCCATGTTTCCACCACCTGCCGGACAAAAGAAATACATTTTTAAATTGAATTAATTACAGAAAAAATAATCGATTAAGAAAAGAAAAAAAAAAAAAAAAAGAAGAAGAAGAAGGAGAAGAAGAAACTGAAGAATTATATTGGGATTGTCGTTTTTCAATTCCCTGTTTTTAACTTGACTCACATGGAATAAATCAATCAAGGGGTGAAAAAACACAGAACCCAACTGATGATGAAGGAAACTGAGAGTATATGTATGTATAGTGGTAGAATATGTACGTATAGTAGTCGAATATGTATGTAATTAACGGGTAAAAACCCCTTAGGTTGTAGATTCATCATCTTAATTAGATGGAGTTACTGTCAGTGAATATTCAGTACCGATACTGATTATGATACATATGTATATCAACAATGATTAGAAAATCTCTTGACTGTTGTATAATTTATTAATTAATCAGTACTTTATATATGTGTATATACATACAACACGTACACGTATAATTTGAGATGATGGGCAAGGTAAGTATACAAAATTTTAATATTGGCCATGAGTAGCATGTTCTCTTAGATACCATGTCTCATCATGGCTAATCCTCAGAGTTTAATAAAATTGGCATGTACATACAGTCCAAAAGTCCATACATGTGATACTTAATAAATTTCGAACTAATCATGGAGTACCCATGATCATGACTGGGTTAATCATGGACGGTCGATCAATATATATTTGATGATTATTACATATCTACACACACATATATATATATATATATATATGAAATAAAAGAGGCTAATTAGTAGTGCACATTACCAATCATCACCGCAGATGGATGCTTTTCGATCATTCATAATTAGGTCCCATTTCCCATCATCTTAATATAATTACACACATCTTACATCCC